TATTCTATAACGTCGCACTTATACTACAGATATACTCTCAATTTAAGGGCTGAATTTCAAATTCCTTACCAATCAAGTTGTAACAATTCAAAAAGATATAATCATTTAGAAGGTGATTCTGGACCTTCTGCCGTATTTTTTTCGTCATTCATTTCTTCTCATCATCATATTGTTGCTGTTGTTTTTTGAAACTTCATATTGTTGTTGCTTTTAAACACAGCAACTGGATCGCCAACGACCCAATTTGATACAAATTTTGTCTTCGTGGTGATTTTTCGCCACCATGTTCGGAATTATGTGGCTTAGATTCCATTATTCATGCTTGAACTTTTCTAATCTTCTTTGGAATCAAGTGATCCCATAAGACTTTTCTTTTATTTTTTATATTTTACTGTTAATTTTTCTTTTCTTTTAATTTCTTTTTTTCTTATTTTACTGTTAATTTTTAATCCCCCATTTTCAATGAGAAACTTTAATTACTTATTTAATATTATTTAAAAGGGCAAACTTATATTAGAGATAAAAAGGAACTTATATGAGTGGGTTAGATACAGAACCTACTTATCTTTTAAAAAGTTTTATAATTTTAAAATGGTTAAAACTTTACTTTAGTCCCTAAACTATTGTATGGATCTTTGATTTGATCCCTAAACTAAAAAAATTCTTAATTTGGTCACTACTGTTTATCATTTTTACTCCGATTTGGTCATTCCGTTAATATTTTCACGTTAATTGGCGGAAGAAACATAAAAATTGACAGGTTGGCAAAAGTAAATGACATGGCATTCCAACTCATCCCACCAAAAAAAAATCCCTTTTTTATTTTTTTTCTTTTTTCGTTTCTCCCTTTCTTCTTTCTCTTTCCTTTTCTTCAACTTATGCAAATCCTAACTTTTCAACCAATCTATTCTCCTCAACCAATCTCTTATCTTTCTAATTTCTTCTTCATCATCAAACAACAAAACCCACAAACAAAAAAAAGAAGATTTTTCTAATTTTTTTGAACCCAGCACCTGGATTCTTTCAAGCCCTCAATTGGGTACCCAGCTGTTGGGTTCGATCTATTCATCTCAACCAATCTCTTTTTTTTTTTTTATCAGTCATCTCAATCAATCTCCTACATGGCTAGTTTCTTCATCATCATCAAACAAAACCCACAAAAAAAAAATTTTTTTTTCTAATTTTTTGCCATTGGGTTCAAAAGAACCCATGCTTGGGTTCCAACAAACCCAGGGATCAGTCATCTCAACCAATCTCTTACCTTACTAGTTTTTCATCATCATCAAACAAAACCCACAAACAAAAAAAAGAAATTTTTTCTAATTTTTGCCCACTGGTTCGATGGAACCTAGCACTTGGGTTCCTTCAAACCCAGGTGCTGGGTTCGAAAGAACCCTCACCTGGATTCCAACGAACCCAATGCCTGGGTTCAATCGATTGGTTTTGAGGGTAGAGAGAAAATGAAAGAGAAGAAAAAAAATATAAGAAAGAATTTTTATTTTTTATCAGATTTGTTTTCCACATCATTATTTTGTTGTCATGTTGTATTTCCACGTGTTTTAAAAATTGACATGTCATCATGTAACAGTAAATTAACAAGACACATAAC